GGGCCTTAGCGGTGTTGTCCTCTGACCCCAAATACACGCTGTAGCATAAGCAAGCCCTAAATTCACACGCATAGATTCACACATATACGCACACACACCTGTTCACACACCCCATACACATGTGCCAGGGGTACACACACACACAATAAATAAATGAATAAATAAATACATATTAAAATGAAACTCCGAGAATTGTATCAGGGCATTGTCTGAGAACTGCCTTTAAATTTTGGACTTAATCTTTGTTCTTAAATTTTTATGATATGTAAAGTGTTATGAAAATTCTTTCTAACAATCTTCAAAATGAAACTGATAATAATCCTTATGTTTTAAAACTAAAGCAGTATTTTGTGGTTTATCATGCAAAAAAAATGCTTTTAAGCCTTAATAATGACAAAATAATATGGAAAACTTTCAAAGTAAATATAAATACTTCCTCTCAGAGAGAAAGAAAGAAAAATTTTAAATGGATGATAGTCATTCACGTAAATCCTTTCTCTGCTTCCTAAAGTGAATGGGATAATATTCCTGGTAACAGCCAAGAGCTGAATTCTAGTCTGGAAGTTAACTGTCCTTAGTGTACCCTGACGGCACCATGAGGTGGATTCTGATTTCTTATAGTCTAGATTTTTTAATTCCCCTTAGAAGTTTGGGTTACAGGCTCGGCCCCCAAAGCCTTGATCTCTAGTGCTCAGAGGCCTTTCCTCAGGGAATCACCAGGGTTCTGACCTCATCCGTGGGTTACCTCACTGATTGACATATTTTAGGGGAATATTGGGAGGTAGAGAAAACTTTAGGAGATGGGAATAAGTAAGTAACACAAATCACTGAGGATTGGAGACATGTTCCTCTCCCCCACCCCGCATGTGTGTGTGTGTGTGTGTGTGTGTGTGTGTGTGTGTGTGTGTCCCATACTTCTCTCCCATAATCTTGTCCTCCCTCCACGCCCACATACGCTTCTTCACAATGTTCTTCCTCATCGCAAGTCCCTAAATCATGATGCCAAGCGATGACAGGCTGAAACATTGAGCCAAAATATTTCCTCCGTATTGCTGATCTCTTCAGGTCTTTGTCACAGTAACTGAAAGGTGACTTCCAAACTAAATGAGCCATTCAATGCAGCATCAATAAAGTGTGCTAATTTTATAATTGAAGTGTGAAAGTGATCCTGGAATTGACTTCAGTTGTACCCAGCTACAAAAACCAATTCACCCACTAGCAGCTCCATCTACTGCCACTTGAGACCGAGTGACACAGACCATTTTTAAACATGACCTTCTCAGCAGTGCTTTTATGCTTGATCAGGGCCATCAGGTATTGCTTTCATTTATCCAAATAGCAAAACAAGTGCAGGCTGTTTGCCAAAGAACTAAAAACATCTCCCTAAGGTGAAAGCGGGTAAAACCTTTCCTATTTGGAGAGCAAACCCAGCTGACAAGGTGAGAAAGCCACTAGTCCTGGGCCATAAACGATTTGAAAGCTGTCATTAAGAATTTCATTTCATCATGGGACCTTTTCAGTTTGGGGTGGCATTTTAGAGAGAGCCCTGCAGTGGCTGTGAGAAAATAAAAGTAGGGGCAAATGAAGAAGCTTTAGAAACACAAGGAAAATGTTGTGAGAAGGTGAGCTATGTGTAAAACGAGTGGATTGTTGTAACATTTTTTTAAGAATTCTGGAATGGGGGGGGGTTCTTTTGTTGAGACAGCATTTCTCTGCATGTAGCCCAGGCTGTCCTGGAGTCACTCTGCAGACCAAGCTGGCCTTGAACTTACAGAGCTCTGCCTGCCTCTGCCTCCCGAGTGCTGGGATTATAGGTGTGTGCCACCACCATCCAGAAAATGTTGGTTTCTTTAAAAAATATAAAATATATATATATATAAAGACTATGCTTTCATTCTAACCCCAGGTGTGGGGCTGGGGCTGCTTCAGACTGCAGCAGCTGACTGTGATTTACCTCATGCTCTGGCAAGGCATGGTTTTGCCAGCTGCAGACAGTTTCTGTGGTTGTTTGACTTCAGATTCCTGGGAACTTTTCAGAGATTATATAAATGCTAGCGCCTCTGCTAGGTGCGGTCGGTGGTTGTTGGGTGCTTAGGAAGGTTGTTTTGCAGTTTGCTAATAGTCGTGGTCAAAGAAGCAACAAAAGGAAAGAAATTAGATTCAGAGATTTTTCTAGTTCCTCTCTCCCCTCCTTGTTTCTCTCCTGTCTAGTGTTAGGGGGTGAGACAGGAGGCCGGGAGAGGGTGTAAAGGGTGGGAAAAAGGAGAAGCCACAAAGTAGCAGAGATCAGCTACAGTGGATCACTTTATTCTGTTAGATACTGGACTAGTGATTTAAACGTAAAAAAAAAAAAAAAGGTCTGAGTGTTATACATACCATTGTAAGGAAAAATACATAAAGTATAGTTCAAATTCCCCTAAAATATTTATGACTAACACTCACACATGTTTAAAAAATAAAAAGATAAAAATGTGTTTATTTAGGTGGGGTTTTTTTTGGCTTGAGATTTTTTGAGATGGGGTCTCTATGTAGCCCAGGCTTGCCTGAACCCAAGCATGTTTCCTGCCTCCATCCCCCAGTGTGAGATTTTATAGACATATGCTGGCTGCCCCACGTAACACCTATACTTATTTCCTCAAGATCACGAGCGCTGCAAGGAGGAGAGAAGCCTGTTTCCCTTTTTCTGAAAAAGAAGGGGTGGTCTGTGCACCTCACATTTGGAGGTAGTTGGTGGGAACAAAGCCCTCTAACCATCTCTGGATGCTCCTGGAATTCACAACCAGAAACCTAAAACTGGTGAAATCTTCTGGAGAATACTGTTTTCAAATGATATTCACAGATGACTCAGGGATAGAGGTTTCTAGTCAGCCATGTCCTCAGCTCCAACCACATGTACCCAGCTGCTACAGGAACACCGTGGGAATATCAAAGACATCATAGAGTCAACATAGCTAAGTCCAAGCTTGTGTTTTCTCTCCCCAAAGTTGACTTTTTCCATTATTATCTAGCAGAGATTGGTATCACTCACCAAGAAAGCGAACCAGCTAGCAGCAACCCTTGTTGCAATCCTTGACTACACTCATTCCAGGATGCTGCAATCTTCCTTTTTAAAATTCATCCACATCTCTCCATTTCTGTGTCATAGATGCTGGACAACTCCGGGGGTTTCCACTGCCATAAACCATCAGATGACTTGATAGAGAATCTTCCTGGAGTTGGACAGACTGAGATCTCCACTGTTACTCTGCTCATTAGTGACTTGAGTCTTCACTCTTCCTGACTACTTCAATGGCCCCCTACACACACACATACACACACCAACCCTGAGCCACCTTCTCTTCGGGCGCCATTGAATTTGGGCTTTGTATCTCCAAAAATTTTTAAAGTCTAAATCTAATTCTGCATCCTTCCTTCCTGAGATTCTTGTGTGGACTCCCACTGCTTTTAAAATAAAGGGTACTGTCTGGTCAAGTCTGGGCTGGTAAGTATGGGTCAGTAGTAGATACTTGGCTAGAATGGACAAGGCCCAAGGTTTGACTCCCAGACTGCAGTAGTAGAAAATAAGACTAGGTCTGGGAATCTCAAAATCCTAAGTTCCATTCTCAGCACATGTGTTTAAAAAAAAAAAAATGCCCTGCTGTTCCAAGATGTATCTGCCTAGAGACCACCATGCCCTCTTCCTGACCTGTGGCTTTGCACATGCCCAGTTAATCCCTTCTCATTTGTTATCAGCCAACCAACTGCAAACCTCTGTCTCTTAAAATCAATAGACATTGATTACAGCTTAGAGAACTGTGGTCAGTGGGTGGCTCAGCTGCTCTGAGCCAGGCTGGGGGCTGGGCTTGTTCATTTAGCAGAGCAGCTGTGCCCGGCTGGTGTCTGGTGGTTACAGGGCTTTTAGTTAAGGTGTCAAGGTCGGGGAGACCTGCCTGTGTGTCTCATCGTCAGCCTAGCCTGGCGTTTTTCTGTAACCGAGGCAATGGTCAGGAGTGACTCATCAAGGCTTATTAAAGCCGAGGTCCGGCCCTGGCTCACCGTTACCTCTCCCACAGTCTGTTGACTGAAGTAAACGCTAGAGGCAGCCCCGAGGGAAAGGAGCGTGGGGGAGATGTTTCTGAGGGGATCAGTGGAGAGGGGCGTGCAACAGATATTTCGGAGGGGAGGAGCTGCCGCATGACTTTATAAAAAGGCGGAAATAACTGAAACAGGTTTGGCCCTCGGTCTACTCCAAGGTCTTTTAGATGTTGACTGGAGATAAGATTCTTCAGCGGACCCTTCACAAGCCTGGAGAACATCACACTGCTGCAGGCTTGCTGACCCCGAACGCCTGCCTCCTGCCTCCCGAACGGCACAGCTGAGGGCTGTGCGTTTGTGTGATCATTTGCCTGTGGTCAGTGTCTCCCTCTCCGTACACTGATTGCCCGAGGACAGACACAGGAAAGCCAGCGCCTGACCCAGAGCAGCTCCTCAGGAAATATTTGATGAGTGATCACAATTCCCGTTTTGTTAGTTTCCTAATAAAATGATTTGTTTTTTAAATCACCTTTGAGGATAGGCGCTTTAACATTTGCTTGGTGTATGCAAAGCCTCGGTTACATTCATGCTACCCACTCTCACCAAAGAACTTGCTTGAGAAACAAACAATAAGATTTTTTTTTCTTACAATAAAAAACCAAAACGCCACTCCATGCAGAACAGAAATTCCCAGGTGATGAGGTGACTCAATACCTTTTGCGATCTGGAACGGAGGCAGGACATTCATTTGGTATTTACAATAAAAACGCCGATGATTTTTAGCCAGGCACAGTGTTATGAGCCTTTCATCCCAGCATTTGGAGGGCAGAGGCAGAATTTGAATTTGTTCTACAGGGTGAGTTCTGGGACAGCCAGGGCTATACAGAGAAACCCTGTCTGAAAATAATAAATAAATAAAAAGAGCCATGTTGGGCTCACCAGCAGAGACCAAGCATGGTGGCTAATCTTGGTTTTCACTCTGACAGTCGGGAAGAGGAACTGCCTCCACCACCTTAGCCTGTGGAGCCGAGGAGGACCAAGTCCAGGGTGAGTGTCACCGTCCTTACACAGGTGGGCGTAGGATAGAGAATGGCCTCTGAAAGCACGCCCAGGGGAAAGCTGTAACTGGCCACTTCTGGTTTCTGCTTCAAGAAGTTTCCTTCACTTCCTGCCTTGCCTTCTCTCAATGACGAACAGTAACCTGTAAGCCAAAGAAACCCTTTCCTTTTCAGATTGCTTTTGGTCATGATATTGTATCACAGCAACAGAAGGAAAATGATATGTAAAACTGAATGAAGGTGTGGCTACAGAAAATGATCTGAAAAGTGAAAACAGAAGTCAGAAAAGGCCAATGTTGGAAGTAAGAAGAGGAAATAGTTTCATGAAGGAGGAAGTGGCCAATGGCACTATGAGCAGCTGGGAGATTAGGGAAATAAGGGACAAAACTCAAAATGAGCTGTGCTGTAGGGAGCAGAGGAAGCTGAGAGAGAGAGAGCTGAATGAATGTGTGTTATTGATATCACAGAGCCGTGTAAGGATCTCAGAGCCTCAGAACCATAGAGGAATGGCAATGCCTTTCCTTCTGGTGTGTGTAGAGAATGTCCAGCGGAGCCTTCTCCCCCCAGATGCTCCGTGCCTGGAGGCTGCTCCCTACAGGGACTTCCTCTACGTTGAGATTAGCTGTCTCTGTCTCCATGATCCGGCTGTGCTCCCGAAGTCCTGCCTCTCTTTATCCGTCTCTAATAACCCCACCTTCCTAGTCAATCTATATAATAAGGACACCAAGCCGGTCGGTGCTGGCTCATGCCTTTAATTCTAGCAGAGGCAAGGTGAATCTTTGTGGTTAAAAATCAGTCTGGTTTACAGAGTGAGTTCCAGGACAGCCAGGACTACACAAAGAAACCCTGCCTTAAGATAATAATAACAAGAACAACAATAAGAGCAAACCTCCAGGGGAGGCTGGGAGGCTGTGATCTTGCTAGCAGAAAGCCCTGTCTACTTGACTCCAGCTTTCTGTCTGTCTGTCTGGCCACCACAGTCAGATCTGTCCCTGGGGCCAGGCCAGGTGAAGCTCTATGCTGTTGATGTTATGGATTCTTTCTCTCAAAGTGTCAATGTGCAAATTCAGAAGTTCTTAGATGCAGGATGAGAATGTATAAGCATTGCAATCTACTCTTACTCTGTAGACGACTTCCCCCACGAATGGTTAAGGGAGAACTATTCAGATTCCTCTTCCCTTCCCAGTGCGCCGCATGGCCTATCATTTACACGCATATGTGAGATTATTTCAATAATTGTCAAGCCCCTCGTGACAGGAAAATCTTCCACTATAGCTGGGCATGGTGATGTATGCCTGTAGTCCCACACTCAAGGCGGGAGAGTGATGACTTCAATTCCCGGCAAGACCCTGTCTCCCACGTGATCGGGAGCTGGCACTGTTGCTCATTGGCAAAGCATACCAAGCCGCCTCCAGCACCACCCAATACAGCATTGGAGCTTCTGTGTGTTTTAGTCCCACGTTCCACTGAATCTTAATAAATTGTCGCTTGTGCAAGAATACTTCTGAGAACTTTTTTCTTAAAGCAAGAATATGTAGTGAAGCGATAGCTCCTGCCCCAAGCAGAACGCAGCTGCCAATCTTGTCACAAATTCTATCATTTGTTAAGGGAATGTTCACTAGGGAGTGGATCGCCTCAGCCACCTATGACAGCTCTCTGAGTTCCAGAGGATGACAACACATAAAAATATACGTGGAAGGGGGGTGTCAGAGCACTAAGATAAATATACCCAGACGTAAGCACCTGCTTCTTTGTAGGTACTTTCTGTCATAGCTGGGCTGGGTGTGGTGGCGAATGCCTTTAATCCCAGCACCTGGGCAGCAGAGGCAAGTAAAATTCTGTGAAATAGATGCCAGCCTGTCTACATAGAGAGTTTCAGGACAGCCAGGGTGAGAGAGACAGAGCCAGGGTGGCTTGGCAGTTGTTGTTTAATATAAAGTCTTTTCAAATATTTTTTATTAAAACAACTTCAGATCTATTGTTTCTAATTTTTAAATAAAACTGAACTGCATCAATACCGGATGTGTCGTGAAAGAGATACAGCTGACTTTTGCCCATAGCCAGTCAGATACATAACAGGTTTTTCTGGTAATTGAGATTCTGTCTTCGAATTTGGTGTTACCCTCCATTATATTCGAATTCTTGGCCATAGACAGGATACCTTATCACCTAAGAAGACACACAAAGAAATAGTTCATAATATTAAATATTTTGTGTCATGTCGAAGTTGTCATGCTGTTTAAGTTGGCACAGCTGTCGAATGTAATGTTACATTTTGTTTCAGTGGGGCTTTTGGAAGACAACTCAGTAATTGTACCCAGCCAGAGATTCTGCTAGCACAGCTTAAAACCAACCAAACAACAACAAAACAAACAACAGGGAAGAGAGCTTGCTGCTGCATTGTGGTGAGAAATGCTCCATCTATCTCAGTGCAATGGCAATCTTAATAAAGGTTCTTGTTACATATTATTTATTCTGTGTATATGTGCTTGTGTATGGGCACACGTGCTACGGTGTGTATGTGGAAGTCAGAGGACCACATGCTGGAGTTGGTTCTTCCCTTCCACCATGAGGGTCTCAGACACAGAACACAGGTTGCCAGGCTTGTGGCAAATGCCTTTACCCTGAGCGTGACCCCACTGGCTCTCCAGCAGTAGTCTTTTAGGGAATGGATAGCTGGCAAAAATTCTTCCCCTCCCTGCAGCTGCAAACCTTATAAAATGCCTTAAATCTTAGCCACAGGAAGATAGGCTTAAGTCTTCACCCATAGTCTGGCCTTAGCCATCTGAGTTGACTTTCCAATAGAGCATTAGCAAATGTCACACAAGTAGATCCTTGAAAGCCATTTGGACATAAATGTCTGATCTCTTGAGCTCCTGAAAACTCTTCCATCACCCAGTGGGAGAGCCTAGAATTTCTCCTAGAAGTTGAGGGAGTGTGTCACAGCTGAGGGATGAGCTAGTCTAATGGAGCTGCCAACAGCAACAGGCTCCCAGTATGCCCAGAAGCCGCCACAAGCCCCGAGTGGACCCAGGCATCTCCTGAAGAACTCCGCAGCTGAGATCAGTCGGAGGTCACACTCGAGTCACAAGCTCGTGCGCTATAGAAATGGTTTTTGAGGACACTAAGCTGGAAGATGGTTTGTTACACAGCAGAAACTGACTGACACAGGAAGAAAGAACGAAGGCCATTCAGAGATGCTTTATTAGTGTGTGATAAGTGTTAGAAACACGAGAGCAGCACTTGACGTAATATATGAAACTAGAGCATGGCAAAAATCTCATAGCTTTCTTGCTTTTAAGAGAAAGTGAGGCCTTTGATAAAAACAATCTAAATAACTAAAGTAGTATCTTATGTTCTAATTATTGTTTTGTAACTGTTTTGTAACTGCCCTACAGTTACAAAACCTGAAATACTGGTTTTCTAGCAGATTGTTACACTCTGATTTGACTGTGGTGCACTAATTCCATTGAACTACAGATTCTAAATAATCTAGGCTACAGCTGGTTGGGCTGTGAACCAGTGAAAGGGAGTGCCTCCTTAGCCAGGAGTGGATATGTTTCCACATTTAGAGTGTTAGTGTTGCTTTTTTATTGTTCTAAAATTGTGAGGAATATGGACTCCGTCCTTTGTGTGTATGTGTATACATGTATTTGAGTGTTCTAGAATCTCCACCAGATGCTCCTAGACTTCCTTAGGGTTTTTGTTGTTGTTGTTGTTGTTACAATGGTGCAAAAATTCCAGGTTTGCCTTTGAGCTTTCCAGGTCAGCCATATGTGACACAAGAGTCTTCATCACATCACTGGGGGACACCACAGTCACCATCCATGCAGACTTCGAGAGGAAGGCAGCTGTCCTCCTCAGGGTTCTCTCTGCTAAGTTATGGCACATTGAATGCATTTTTTTTTTTTTCAACTTCTGATGCTTTCACTAAGACAGAATTCTACTATTGTAAATCAGGAACCATGGGGCTACTCGTGTTATCTTCTGAGAGGGTTACAGCAGAGGAAGCCATCAGTCTAGATGTCATTGGTTCTTAATTGCTCTAAATAGAGTAAACATCAGCCAGACAATGGACAATGGGAATTGGCAAGACCTGAGTCTGTAGCAATCAGCCTTCTGTTTGGAGTAATTTGCATATTAACCCCTCATCCTCTGTCTGTTACAGAGGGCCACTTGTCTGTTGAGAAATAAAGTCAGATCCCTGGCTGTCTCTGCCATTTAGCTGGACAATTGTCTACTTCTTTTCTGTCTTTTGCTTTTTTCTTTCTTTCTTTTTTCTTTTGTATTTTTGAAAGACTTTTATGTTGTAGGATAGGGGATTGCCTCAATGTGTTGATCAGAGTCAGTTCTTTCCTTCCACCACCTGACTCCCAAGAACTAAACCCAGACCTGCCAGCAAATGTCTCAACCCACAGAGCCAGCCCTAATTGTCTGAGCAAGGAATTTTCCTGGTAGTATACTCTCCAAGTTGACCAAAAATAAAAAATAAATAATAATAAATATTAAATATTTAAAGTGTGGCAGTCTTACACAGTTTCTAAAATATCCAACTTACCAATAAAATGTATTGGTGTAGATGAGCAGTGCATTGAGGCTGAGTCTCCAGGGACTGGAGCATCAGGAAAGGAACAATGTGGTGTGGGCTGGGTGAGAGCGCAGACCTCTGGAGCTGAGTAGACACACTGTATCTGCAGGGCTTCAGAAAGCACCAAGCACAGGGGAAGTGGGCACAGAGAAAAAAGCACAGGCGTAAAGTCTTTGTTTAGCATATGGGAGGCCCTGGGTTCAAGCTCTAGTACTACCAAAAATTAAAATAAAATCAGAAAAGCAACAAGCACTTCTACACACTTCTGATCCAAAATAAAACCTTATGTAATAAATAAATTCAATTTGAAGGGATTATACCTGAATCAAATCTTTATTAAACATATGAGAACTGCATTAAGTACCCTTCCTGAGCTTAATCTTATGTTTTATTTCCAGCATAAGCCTGGAGTATAATAGACCAGCATTCCCTGCACTGAGATCTTCTGAAGGTTAACCACTTTGTGCATGTGCTTAGATCATTTCCTTTTAAAGTAATAAAATGCTATTGCTATAATAACCATTTACTTGTATTTTCTGTAATAAGGAGAGCACAGCATCCTTATTAAACCAGCAAACTAGGGCTGGGGTGTGGCCTAGTGGTACAGCAGTTTCTACTACAGAAGGCTCTGGGTTAAGTCCTCAGCACTGCACACACACACACACACACACACACACACACACACACACACACACTTGGCAAATTTCATACCCTATTTTAATACTTTTATTGCACATGTATGTTTCTGTAAGTGTGTGTAATGGAAGTTCTTTGTAAACTCAGTTATGTTTTGTAAGTATGTTTTTGTTTTAATCCCAAGTGTGGTATTTTAGTTGGGATATACTTTCTCCACAGCTGTTAATCGGCTCACTCGGAGAGGGGCGTGGTCTAGAGCTTCGAGGGATATAAATTGAGAGCCCAGAAAGAGAAGGTGTTGGCGTGTGGCATGCAGCAGTTGGAGAGACCCAGAGCTGGACTGTATCACAGTTTGGAGCAGAGAGAAATGCTTCGGGTGCAGAGGCTTGGAGGAGACTGCTGGCTGCGTTTGCTGTTGACGGAGACTGGTATAGCCCTAAAAGAATCCATCCACCCTAAACAGCTGGAAGAAGTAAAGGGGTCTGCACCCCCTCTCCCCACTAACCTTCTCTCTTTACCTAGGGTTGGGCGGTTGGTGAAAAGGAAGTAGAGGCGTAAATACCCTAAATAGAGTTTTAAAAATGAGTGCTACAGGTGTGTGCATATGCATTAGATGGTAATCCATCACTGGGATCCAGGACTTGGGACTCAGCCTCTTCAAAAAAAAAAAAAAAAAAAAAAAAAAAAAAGAACGTATGCAGAAGCAGAAGTGGAAGAGAAGGGAGGTAGGCCCTTTGTGGCCGAAAACTAGGAAGATAAGGTCAGTCTTAAGGGAGTAAGGGCTGGCTTCCAAAGCTTGTTCTGCAGGTCCTCTCTGGGCTGGGGGATGGCGATTAAGGGGCATAGTAACCAATGGGAGTTGACAGTCACCATGTAGCCGGAGGCGGGGACAGCAGGGACTGCCTCCAGCTCAGAACAGTCTGCATTGCCACACATCATGTTTGGGGTTAGTTTGCTCTAATCATCTACAACTTAAAATTTTTAAATTGACACAAACCATCCTGCAGCCTTTTTTGTTCAAAATTTAAGAGCTACACCATGTCCATTTAAATATGTGAGATCAAACGCATTCCTTTAGCAACTCTGAAGTGTCTGATTTAGTAATGCATTCTCTTGCTGGTGACTGAGGGAACATTTAAGTTTGGAGGTATTGTGATAATCCTGCCTTTTTTGTACTTCTGTGGATGGTGTTACAGTATTTCCAGGAAAGCGGGAGGCAGAATGACGGGGAACACGTTTTCACTTGCACTAGAGCGAGCCTAACTATGGGAAGTTGTACTGACTCCTGCGCCTCTATCAGGGGCTGCAAGTTAGGGCTGTCAGACTTTGAAAATGTGTGCTGATCACCGGGGCATGCTATAGTGTTGCTTCAGAATATTTTCCTTGTGGGCAGCTGCCCTCCAGTCACCATCCAGCATCTAGTTTTGCAAATAAGAAATCTAGTATCAGTTCAACGGCCATTCCTTTCTAGTGACTTATAGCCTCTTAAAAGAGTTGCTTTTCTTGTCATAGGCATGGCACAGCTTACTAGTAATGCTTTCTCCTAGACAGTCATGTTCCGTAGCCCACACTGGTTTCAACCCCCTGGCCTCCAGCATCAGCCTCCTGACCACTGAGACTGCAGGCGCGTACCATCCTACCTGGCTCTCGACCACTGGGCCATCTCTCCAGCAACTCTTTCCCTCTCCTATTCTCTCCTCCTCCTCTTCCTTTCCCCCACAACAGGGTCTTACTGTATATCTGTTGCTGGCCTGAAACATAGACCAGGCTCACCTCAAACTCAGGTGCCTCCTCTCCTGCCTGACAAAATAGTCTTCTTACAACATGTTAAATTAATATTTTAGAATGAATATTGTAATTTAAAAAATCGATGAGCCTGATCTGAAGAGGCGGGCAGAGACAGCTGAAGCCAACTGCAGATGCTTGCTTGCTTTCTGAAAAATAAACAAAATTGACAAAGCTTTGTCTAGAGCAGTGGTTCTCAACCTTTGAGTCATGACCCCTCTGGGGTCAGACCCTTTTCAAGGGTCACCTAAGACCATTGTAAAACACAGATATTTGCATTATGAGTAATAACAGTGGAAAATTACAGTTACAGAGTGATAACAAATAATTTTGTGGATGAGGGTCACTACAACATGAACTGTATTAAAGGGTCGCAGCATTAGTGAGAACCACTGCAAGAGAGAGAGAGAGAGAGAATACCAATCAGCTGGTCATGCTAGCAATGCCTATAGTCCCTGTTCTCAGGAAGCTGGGGCACAAGCAGCCTGGGATATCCAGCAAGTTCCAGGGCAGTATGGAATAGAGCAGAGGGGGAACGAATCCCATCTCACCTTAAAATAAAAAAGAGAATTCAGTCACTGGCACAAACTGGAGGAAGCTGGAGGAAATCTATGTGAAAAGTCAAGCACAGAGCAACAGACAGCATATGATCTCATTTATATTTGAGAAGTAAGGAGGTCACCTCCTGGAGAACGGAGGATTGATGGTTGCCGAGGACTGAAAGAGAGAAGGTTAGGAGGGGAGTGATGCTGGTGAAAGATGAAGTTCTGGAGTGTCAGTAGAATGGGGCCTCGGAAGAGCTACCACACAGCCCAGAGGCCAGTCAGTGCTGCGCTGGGCAGCCCAGCACCAAACAGCAGCGGCATGACCGGCAGGCTTGGGTTTGCCGAGAGAGTGGATCTTTAATGTGTCCAACACACACGCATGCACACACACTGCGACGTGAGGTGACAGGCGTGCTAACTCGCTGATTGCAGCAATCATTTTACAATGAGTGTGCGCAGGCATCAAAATATCACATATGCTGTAAACAAGTCTATATATATATATAAATTTTTGTCGATTTTATTTTAATGAGAACGGAAAAATGAATAATAGAAAAGTTAAAACTAAACAAAAATTAGAAGGCAAAAATTGTCCGAGAGAATTTTTTTTTTAAAAGGCCTGGTAGTACACACCTGTAATCCCAGCCATCAAGGAGGGAGAGGCTGATCTCTGTGAGGTCCAGGCCAGCTTGATCTACAGAGTCCAGGACAGCTGAGGTACACAGAGAAACCCTGTCTCGAAAAAAAACAAAAACAAACAACAAACAAAAAAGCCCAACTTTATGCTGTACCTGGTTTAAATATAAAGATATATATGTTAAAAACAAAGCAACACAGAAAGACACCTTGCTAATGTTAAGCAAAAGAATACTAAATAGTTAACATTAATCTCAGATGAAGCAGACTTTAGAACATAAAGAACTTGTCAGATAAATTAAAGAAATTCATATATTTTTGCTAGGTAATTATTAAAGTAGCAAATAAAAAAGAGCCTAAAAAAAAGTACTGGGGTGGCATGATGAACAGCTCACATTTAAGAAAGAAATGGTATTAGTTTTCTAATACCATTTTTAGTGTTTTAAAATCATTTTTAGTGATTTGCTTGTTTTATGTGCCCTGGTGTTTGCCTGCACGCACGTCTGTGTGAGGCTGTGTGCCACCTGGAGCTGGATTACCATGTGTCATGTGAGCTGTCATGCGGGTTGTGGGAATTGAACTTGGGTCCTCTGGAAGAGCAGCCAGCGCTCTTAACTGCTGAGCCATCTCTCCAGTCCCCTGGTATTACTTTTCAACAATTTTTTTTCCAGATTGAAACAGAGGAAACATCTCCCAACTCATTTTGTGAGGCCAGCATGACTCTATTACATAATAATATAATACATTAGAAAATGTCTAGACTTACGTGTCTCATTTGAAGATCAAGTCTAACAACGTGTAAGATGAATCATACCATATGAAAGTGGAGCTTACCCCAGGTAAGAGATGGTTCAACATTCAAAAACCAGGCAACACCATCTTCACGTTAACAGGTTTAAAGAGAAAGCCATATGACCGTGTCAATGGATCTTCATCCATTGACATCCATTGACAAAGAATCTGGCAAAGTCCGACCTTCTTGGCATACTAAGAAAAAATATATATATTTTTTTTAATTTGCTGGAGAACATTTGCCAAATCTTACCAATGTCATCATGTGTAGGGCAAGGAAGTCCCTTCTTGTTACTCCCAATGTTGTGCCAGCATCACATGAGAAGTCCTGGCTGGTGCAACGTAAAAGACAAATTAGTGAACGGTACAAGAGGAAGCAGGAAGTGGAAATAACTGTTGACAGGTGAGATCTGTCTATTTTCAACCAAAGAAAATTTAAAGTAACCAGGTTTGGTGGCACATCCCTTTAATCCCAGCACTTGGAGACAGAGACACGTAGACCTCTGTGAGCTGGAGGCCAGCCTGGTATGGTATGAGTTCTAGGCCAGCCAGGGCAGCACAAAGAGACCATGTCTCAAAACAAACAAACATGAAAACTAACACTTGTAATATAGTATATTGGGATAAAAAACAAGTCAATAGGATGCAAGATTAATATATATATATGTAAGTAGAATGTACTTACAGCAATGTAAGAATATAGAATGTCCATACAGCAATGATGATTAACTGGAATCTGAAGCTATATACAAACAGTGTATCCCCAAAATAGAGTACTTAAGTGAAAATGTAGTAAATTACATACCTATCTATGTTTAGAAAAGGGCCAAGTTTTTTGACAAAATATCTATTTAAATCTCTAAACAAATATATTTCATATGAAAGTATGGATTTGAAAACTCCACATTAAGATGTCAGTTCTCCCCAGATTCTACACAATTCCAACTCAAACCCTCAAAACTCTTTCACAGATATTGGCACAATTACTTCTAAAGTTGATTCAGCAACGCAAAAGACTCAGAGAGACCACCAACAATGCTCAGGAACAAAGAGAATTGGTGCTACCACCTGAAAACTTACTATGAAGTCTACAGTGCCCAAGACATTGTATTGTTGGCAATAGAATATGCATGTAGATCAATCAAACAAAATACAGAGTCCCGAAAGAGACCCCTGCAAACACACAGCCTGATCTTTGATGGAGGAGCAGAGGCAGTGCGATGGGGGAAGGCAGCCACAAATGTGCTCCCACGACCTGTATGCAGAGAAGAATAAAGAATGCAGACACCCAGAGAGACAGAGGATGGAGGACACAGTCACTGCGCCTTTCACAAAGAGTGAACTCAGGAAGAATGCAGACGAACCCTAAAACAGCCCTTAGTTTTTTTTGTGCTAAGGTTTTAGCTACAAAATAAACCATAAGATGAGTAAGAACGACTTCATCAAAATGTAAAATATCTGCTGTTAGAGACATTGCTAAGAGGATGAAAAGACACCCATACATAGACAAGGAGGAGGCAGAACACATTTTTAATATGAGATTGTATCTAAAACGAAAAAAAAAAAATCTTAACCAGTTAACCATAAGAAAAAACACCAATTTAAAAATGGTCAGAAAATCTGAAAAAGAGCTTCGCATGTTTGTTTAGAGAGAGGAGAGGATTGTTTCCACCTCATATGTTTATGATCCATAAATGGTCTGTCCGTGTGACGCGTGTTATCACTGGCAACTTTAGAGACTGGGAAAGTCATCATCAGAGAAGGTTCTGTGACAGCTGGGGCAGCAAGATAAGGGCGTGTGGAGAAATACAGTCAGAGTCAGGGAGGGT